GAAAAACTTGATGTGATAGGGAACGATGGATCTGTAATTAATACTAGTTTGAAAAATGGTGCTACTCATCAGAATGAATTGCACATTGGGAGACCATTGCAGTAGGATATATGTCCTACACTTCAATGAACTGCAGTTCCAATAATTACAGGTTTCATCACTAGGGTAGTGTTACCACATGGAAAAATTCCTTCGATGGACCGATTAAGAAAAAATTTGCTGGCTGTGAAAAACTTCCACCGGTTGGCTTTGAACGTGTTGAATTCTGCATTCCTCAAGCTGAAAAGGATCACTAATACTTGCTAAATATTTCTGCAGTCAGGTGAAAATTTAGAAGATTTAGCAGCTCATATTCCTAATCTCCTTTCACACTCAAAACGACAGCAAATCTAGTTCTCAAACTTTACGCGAGCTTAGAAAAACATACTAATAAAACTAGGAAATTTATATATTTTATTTTGAATTCTTAAACCCTTCTTTGGCTCAAAATCAAAACTACCTGAAATTTCACATACGGTCCAGACATAGATTTTGAAGCCATCAGGCACCGAGATATCTAATTCAAAATTGACTGCAAGTCATCAATCCACTAATTCAGTGAAATGCTTTCTTTGATCATCTCAAAAATTTGATCCTTGCAATGATTTTAGATGAAAACATATCAGTGAACTATGGCCGGGTCCTTTGTTGAATGCTTGGTAACTTTCCAAGGGAAAGACTATTCAATGCTTTACCACACCTAAAGTCATTTCGAAGCAGCTGACTTCTTCAAAATTATATGGTAGGTTAGTTGCAATATCTCCACTTCTTCACTTGTAAGGAACATTGCATATGAGGGCATCAGAAATCTGTTAAAGACTGGCATATAGCTGCAATTGGATTTCAAAAGCTTCCCTTGTCACAGCCAAGCTATAGAAAGGTGTGTCAAACTTGTGAATGAAGTATCTAAAAAGTGTGTGGCGCTGACGCAAGAGACAGCTTGGTAACGATGACCTCTCTATCAAGTTGTATTACACTAGCATTTTCCCAAGTCACTGGTTTTAAGGTGCACTTTTTTCAATAAAAAATAAAAATGATAAATATATTCACCGTTTCTTTACTAAACACGAAAAGTAAAATTATCAGAAATTACGAAATATTGCTATTTTCACAAAAAAATTGCTTTGAGCTTTTTGGGCAAACAGTAAATAATTTCTAATTACAGGCTTTAAACTTTTTTTTGTTTTCCTGATGCACCAAAATTCACATTAGGAACACCTGCATTTCGATACTAGTGAGTTTAGTAGTTATAAGAGTTTGACGAAACACAGCAAGCTTTGGCTATTTTTCAAAACTTTGAGTGCGATGTGCAAACGGAAATTATATTTTTATATGAAAATGTTTTCCCCCTATTTTGCTGAGCTGGGCTATAGGCAACTTTTCTGGGGTACAGCAATAGAAAATTTGTTTTTTTAAAAAAGTGTTTTTTCGGCCATTTTATTAGGGCTATCGACCTTGGACAGGAATACATTCGCTGGTGACATTTTAAGAGAAACAAGCACGTATTCATGCTAATTATAGGAAAAGCTATAAAAGGTGAAAGAAGACCTTTAAAAATTCTGTTAGTTACGATTAAAAATCTTTTATGCACCATGAAAAGAAGCAGTTAATTTATCAAACCTGCTTAGTAAGATAAATTTATCTAACTTTTCTATGGTTGGATTTAAAGTAAACATAAAAACAATAAATTCTTATTAATTGTGAAAATAAGTTATTTAATCTATATGCCTGATTCTATAACTAGATGCTGAATACAATTTGAAACTTTTTTTTTTTTTTTTTTGGAAAAGAGCTTGAATCTACAGAATAAGAATGTGCGGAACAAGATGGAATAGAGATGAAACATTTTTCATTGTTACATATTTTCTTACAAAGCATGGAAAATTCTGTTCAATATTAAGAAAAAAATTCTTTTCCCTTAAATGTATTTCATCATTATGGCGTTGTTTATTTAATAAAGTAAACAATTTCTACATTCTGGGAAGTGTTTCAAGAATAAAATGTAAAGGAACGAATAATCTGGCGCAACAAATAAGTACACATAAGGAGACACACGACTGATCAGTATTTTTTTTACTGATGCATTACTAGATTAATTTGATATTTTCTAAAACAGCTACCTAAATGTACTTAAAAAATGCCTTAACCTATATTGTTTTATATAACGATTACTGAAAAGCAATCTTGCAACAGTAACTACGCTAACGTTTCTAGACGCTATGTTTCATCTTTGAGCAAAATGAAACATCAACCTTTAAATATATAGAGAGAGAGAATCACAGAGTTTATCCGTCCGCAACTACTGAACTGTCTTCATTTTTTGTCATTTGTCTTCATTTCAGAAAGTCTTTCATTTTTTTAATCACACATGAATCGATGAATCTATGATCTACGTTCAAAGGCGGCCTTCATAAAAATGATATACTCCTTATTTTTCAATGTAAATTTAACAGCTAAAGAAATATAAATTCCTATTACCTTATGGTATTGAATGATTCATAATTGGCATATCGTTTTTGGATTGAAGTTTTCTTTTGAGGTGGCCAAAGATATCGAACAAGATGAGTGGTTTATTTAATTTAGAAATCATTCAAATGAAGCTCAATTTACTTGTGATATTATTACCCACGTAAAATTCATGTATGTCACATAGATATTGATTAAAGTATGATCACCTTATTAAAAATATTTTCTCTGTACTTTTATCCACTGGCATTGTTTACCTCTGTATGGCACCACTTTGAATCCGTTAAAGGCATTAACGTCAAAAAGCTTATTTTGGCCATTCAGGCAATATGGAACTCACCAATGGTCGAATAAATGAGACCGCTGAGAACTAGGGATTAGTTCCAACTTCAGCTGCTGCCAAAAAGTACTGGCCAAATTATGTATCCCGATTTTATCTATGTATAACTTTAATAGAAATTAATTCCATCTACAAGTCCTCCACGAAGATGTCTCGCTTTAAAGAATAGCTCTTATGACTGATGACAAATGCATGCACCACCTCATGATTTATGATGCGTTTTTGCAAGCATGGGATAAGAAATAAGTAAGCAAAAGATGATTTTTATATTTTCAGATTTCCTTACTTGCATAATTCCTCCTTTCTTAATACAAATTAATCTTACCATTTCATATAACACAACTTTTTATGTTCAAGTTTACATAACTACAATTATGTAATCTGAATTGCAGTTCTATGCGAGAATACTTTTGATCGCTTTTGTAAATCTCTTATTCTAAACTGGGAGAAAATCCCTTGATGATGAAGCTGACAAACAGGGAAAAATGCTGCTTGAAGGTGATGCTGATAAAAGGAATTTTATAATGAGCAAACCAGATTCCCTCCTCTGACTTGGATACACGGAATGACCATAAAAAAAAATTCTTTCTGAGCGTTTTTTAAAGGTGAAATGATGGACGTAGTTATCATTTTAAAAGCTCTTACAATGATACTTTCCTGACTTCTTCCCCATATCCCTGTACTTTAAAATTATTTTTTACAAATTCTTTACTTTTCAATAGAATTTTAGAAATAAGTTTAATTTTTAATGTAAGTATAAGTTCAGCATATTTTTAAATTATTTATTCTGTTTTAACAATAGCAAGAATAGATTTATGACAGTCTTATTTCTCGAGCAATTCCTTACTTCTATAACATTTCTGTCAACAAGATTAAGTACCATTTTTGATATACTTTTCGCCAGTATATTTTGCAATTTCCGCACTATATTCGATTTTGCAAAGAAACTGTTAACCTGAATACTGGCAAAGCACGTGAGGTCTACTTGTCATAGCAGGGCTTTCTAGGAGGAACTGGCTCGTGATCATGTTACACATGTGAAAACAGTAAAAATTCGAAGCAAGCCAATCTGCTAATAGACAACAGAACCGCGACTCGGCCACTGGATGGGCTGGTTTTGTTTGGCTCATTTGAATCTGGCAAAGCTCTCCAAGGTTATCTGCCTATGAGTAGAAATGTTTTCATAAAGGATTTCCTTAGGAAAACTTTTCGTATACACGTGGAGAAAAAGCACAAAAAAAGCCCGTTCTGTTGAGTCGAACCTAGCTCAAATTACTATGACTTTACCACTGGCTGTAACTTGTAGGACATTAAATTTGGTAAGGATTTCTTGCTTTTGAAATATCCAATAACTGAATAAATACAACCGCCGAACATTGAAAGCACGACCCGCACTCAGAAGCAGGTTAACAGGCAGGCTATATGTGCATTTTTCCTGGTTTCTTCATGTATAATGTGGATACGAGTTTTCCCTGAAAAATCCTTCACAAAAGTAACCGTTCTTATAGTTAAAACAACCATAATGTATTTTGCGTAATCTAATAACTGCATTGCAGTATACCAAACAAAATAAAACGTTTTGTGAAAGCCACACCATAAAGTTAAATAAAGCCACACCATAAAGTTAAATAAAGCCACACCATAAAGTTAAATAAAGCCACACCATAAAATACCTATTATTTGGCTAGTAGTTGAGGTAATTTAAAATTAGAAACAAGTAATTAGCAATAGATGTTTTTTTGGTCAACAGCAAGCATACAGTAGTGAGATCAAATATACAGACAAAAATTTCGAGAACGAAAACAAAAAAGAAATGCATTATTTTCTGCAAATAATTTGCAAATTCTCCTATATAACCTTTACTAATCAAAATAATAATTGTAAATATATATGATGTATAAAAAACTAGCAATGTAAAATGAAATATATACAGAGCACGGAAGGTATCTGAACATAAACTGATAATATGAATGAATAAGAAATATATATTATCAAATACTAGATTTACAGTAATTTTACAAAAATATGATGCATTTGTTTAATTAAGATTAAATGAAATTTCTTAAACGAAATAACTTTCTCAGATTTTATTCATTGCTGTGATTGAAAACTTACTATAACTGTTTGAAGAAAATAATTCAGTTTCATTAATTAGGAGCCTTTCTAACGGATGACGCAAGCTAAACATCTGTTGGCAAGGGTCCCGATATCTCTAACCTACATACGTATGAACCACTGGCTATAATTATGCTTTCGTAGGTAAGGAACATTTGTAAGTAATCAGCAAGTTAATTAATATGCTCATCATCACACGCTAGCAATTATATCTTTTAGGTAGTTCTGTAATACGTTCCTTTGAAAGTTGTTCAAAATGTTTTAAGACTTCCTAGTTTCTCCCTGTTTTTGAATTATTTTATGGTTCCTTCTACATGTTCGATTTCTTGTAAACTTTGAAAGTGGCAGTATGAATGATAACTGCTTTTATTTGAAGATTAAAATGAGTCTAACATATTTTAGTTTAAGAGCCCTTTTCTATTACCAAGAAAACTGAGAGTGTAGAAAATGCATATTACACCTCGCTTCATCCCAAGCAATAAAAATACGTAGTTGTTTTAATTATCCACGACGTTATTAATGTTTAATTTTATTGCAAAATAGGATACCGTTCTGTATTTTGTATTGACATACAAGAAAATCAATATTTAATCGCATTATTAGAGTTAAAAATGGGGAAAACATTAAGAATTACATTTTTAGTCGATAATGCATGAGACGACAGATAATACGAGCTTCTGATATTTAACAACATTACTCCCACAAGTATTGTGAATTATCTTTCTCTTATTATAGCATCTCTCACCTGTTTTTAGATGTACAGATGGTAACATTACAATACCACAGCGAATTTTTTAGAACGTGCCACATATGTAAGGCTCATATATTGGAGGTTAGAAGATTAGTATAATAAGCATTAATACTGCATTATATTTTCCATGCATACCGAGAAAAAGAAGTAATAAGAAAATGATCAATCTGAATTATCAAAAAAAGTACAAAAAATTATCTTTGTGCTTGCCTTTAAGAATACAGTGAGGCAGTTTACACTCTATTAGAACGAATTTTCGGTATTACAGAAAAGTTTAAAATAAAAATATTTGTATCATGAATGTTCTTTCTTATAATCCTTACTTTGGTCCATTAGTTTGCATCTTGATTTCTAAAATACGAAAGCAGTTTCTATAAACAGTTGATAGTTGGAATTTTATTTTCACTTCTTAGCTGCTTTCCATACGCTATTGAGTGTTTTAAATCCAGCTATATAAAGTGTATAATAAGCGCTCATTTCAGCATTAGAAAGGTTCAACAGCATCGGAAGATTTTTGAAGAACAAGAAAAATGTACTATTTAAACCTAACGACTGTCTCTTCTATGAAACTGAAGAAATTGAGTAGGAAGCTTTGATGTGTGACTGGTAAACTTTGTTAAAATATAGGTGCACTATCTGAATAAGAAAATAGTATTTCTTCTTTAAATATATAATAAGAAGTATTCTTTAACTGTATGAGTTAAAATGTTAATTTGTTAATAAAAGGATGTAATTTTAACACTTTTTCCACCTATCTGAAACAGTTGGAACACGACTTGGCCTCCCAGGTTACAGCTTTCTAGTAATTAAGTGTTCGCTGGTGTTTGCGAGCCCAGCCCGACGCACATACACTGTGTGTACGTACTTTAGGAGTACTTGGTTGGGCAATAAATCCTAAAGTCCATATTATATAGGAAACATCGCCGATTTCTTGAGTTGATATTTATTAAAGCCCTAGCATTGAACCTCTATGTTTTCTTTGAGGCAGTGTTGAGTGCCTATCGCTTGAAATGATTCTTACCAGACAACTTGGAAGTTCTCCAGCTTTCTCTTTTCTTTACTCTGCCTCTTTCTGTTTCTGGTCTGGAAAGGGCTCTCTGCAAAGGCGTAGAAGGTATAGTTTTAGTAATAAAGGTACAAATCAGTGATATCTTTAGTCAGCGGTACATACGGGCCAATGATAATATTCACTACCATTAAATACACTGCACCCTTAGCAGGTTTGGCTTGACCTTCTTGAATATTAAGATTCAATTTGCTATGAAATGATAGCAATAGCAATTTAATTGCTATTGCTTCTTAACAGATTCCATAGCGATTTCATTGTGATCTCGCTGAGCAGGATCATCTGATATTTCATTGCAATAGAATGAGAACACATAGCAGTTTGCTGCCTGCTTAACATTTGTGGGGAAATTTCTGCAGCTTTTTTCAGCTTCCTCTGCAAAATTGCCTTTAATCATCTTATTACTTGACAATTTACACTAACTGGCACTATTATCTTTCTCAGCTTCCTTTATTGATCTTTTTTTAATGTGTAACAGGGGATCTTTTATTGTATCAATTGTCTTTTAAGAAATGTAATAAGCATGACAAATAAATTTGTAATGGGCCTGTAACTAATCTACAGTGAACCACGTGCTCCAATTCTTGTTTGATTGCTACAAAGCTAAATAAACTGCACAAGAAAACTTATGGTACAGAACTGTACTAGTGTTACAGAACATATGTAAAGAAGTTTTATAACTCAAAATTTACATACATTTCAAACTGTTCTAGGAGTGGTCCAAAAGGTTCACTATTAGAACAGTTGGAAAGTAATGATTCAGAAGGTAAGCCTCTTATCAGAATTAATAAATATAATAATTTTACATATAATGCAAAACTACTAATTACACAGTTAAATCGAAATGCAACAATATCAGTTTAAAATGCCACATACACTTAGATGAAAAAAATTGATTGAAGATCTTCTTAAGAAAAGCTATAAGAATCTTTTTATTTCACCGTTTTTGAAAAAGCACCCTTTTAATTCATAAACTGGGAAAATGGGTTTGAGCTTTTGTCTGATAATAGATCAGGTCTTAATCAATTAGCTGTTGTTCTATTTTCTTCCAAGTTTGAACTTAAACTTATTTTGGATCTTTGCCGTTTTTAGGACAACACGCGTCAGTGCGTCACAGATATAATGCACGAATGTTGCCAATAGGCCACCGTTAAATTAATTTTTTCTGTCTCTTATTACAGTGCTCTTGTTTTCAAAGTAATATTAATAGAACGTTTTCGAAGTGTTATTCTATTTCATTCTTTGTTTATTGATGTTTAATCAAAGAGATATGTTCCTTATATTGAGAAAGCTTTATTGTAATACAAATGAGCTGATGACGAAAGCATGTTTTCTCGCTGGAACTTCCAGCGAGAAAACATGCTTTCGTCATCAGCTCATTTGTATTACAATAAAGAAAAATGAGCTGATGACGAAAGCATGTTTTCTCGCTGGAACTTCCAGCGAGAAAACATGCTTTCGTCATCAGCTCATTTGTATTACAATAAAGAAAAATTTTAGCATGTGGTGTCGTATAACGAAAAGATTCCTTACATTTTAACTTTGAAAACTATAGGTATATTTACCATATGTCTACATATATATATAATGTTGAATAAAACTATGTCATCACAAAAGTGTTTAAATCACCTCTCTTATCTCAATTAAAATATTTTGTGTAGAGAAATTAGAAACCAGCCTCCCAGACGGGGAAATAATTAGGGTCTCTGACTGCCGTACCGAAGGGCCCGGGTTCGAATCCCGGAGAAGGCATGGCTGCAATTTGTCCATTCCGTCAAAGGAGACAACAGTGGTCCACCTAATAGGTGCCTCTATAATAAAAAGTAACTACCGCTTCCGACCTTAGTAGTGGCGAATGCCTATAAATGGCTACAACTCGCCACTGGAACAAAAAATTAGAAAAGAGATGGTTACCGTAGGCATAAAACATAATTCTTTCAGTATTTTACAAAAAATGGTTCTAAATGATAGAAAAGGGGAAATATCTTACGTGATTGATCACAGATATAGTGGATTTCTCATATATATCCGTAAAAGTAGTATTTTGAGAAGCAATAAATAGTCTGGTATCCTCGAAATGATATCAGGGTAACGCAAATCTGGGACTTTAAGTTAGGTTAGGTTATCTGAGTACTGCAAAGCCACGAGGGTTATCCGCCAAAGAGGAGGGAGGTTTCATGGAAGACTTTCTGTGGAAACCTGGCTAGTATTCACGTTACACATAAGAAAAACCAACTACGTACGCCTGTGATCGAAACCCAAACCAAGTCGAATTAACAACATTCAGTGTTCTTAACCACTAGATCACCAGATGAGCTCAAATCTATTACTTATCGGTTATACCGGGTAGCACGTTTTCAGAAACAAAATATATATAATTAGATTTTGGTAATCTTAATCCCTTTTTTAACTCTAGTTTCTTTTTATTTTGGGAATGGCAGCAGCGGTAATGTCGCAGAACACTTTTACTTCAACCTTGGTTCGATTTTGGGCGAGCTGGCAGCAAGGGCATTTCGTGTCCTTCATGTGTAAGTGGAACGAGTCGGTTGTTCTTAGAAAGTTCTCCACGAAAGTATCTCTTCGCTTAGGAAGATAGCCCTTGCGGGCGGTGCCATAACCAGATAAAACAAAGCAAACCAAACATTTTTCGAAGGGGGGGAGAAGGTATATATTTATCCAGTGACAATCATTTGCATTTTTTTCCCCTCTTCTTTCAGTGCATAAATTTCATTTGCTACTTTACCTTCAGTTAACGCTTACCTTTCCTTCAGTGCATAAATATAAAATCGCTTACTTTTCCTTCAAAGTATAAACTTCATTCGCTACTTTTCCTTCACCGTAGCTAAGCATTTCATTAGTAATGACAAGCAAGTATAGCTTGCACAATTTGTCGCCGACGGTACCAGCTGCTTTAGAGCAGCGGTTCTCAACCTTTTGACTAACGTGTAAAATCTAAACAAAAACTGAAAACCTTTAGTACCACCACTACAAAGTACTACTACCACCACCACCACTCTTGAACAAAGCTCAAATCGCATGAGTGGTGTATTGGATTTAATTATGGCAAAGCACACGAGGGTTATCTGTTTAAAGGGAGGGATGCCTTCGTGGAGGACTTTCTAAGTGAAACTGGCTCGTATACACGTTACACATGGGGAAAACCACGAAAACGCCCATGCAGCCTGCCCGTTCGCGGGATTCGAACCTCGAACCGAACTACCAGTGTTCAGCGACTTTACCGCTCGGCCGCTGGTGGGCTCAAATCGCATGAACTTACGAGTGTCAGAGAAAAACTCAATCAGGATGTTGAAGTTTTAATTTTGAATT